TCCCAACATTCTAAACATTTTGCTAATCCTCTCCCCCCCATAGCCAGCATATAGGGATACAGAGCCCACCATTTTCTCCAGGGGAACCAATCTCTGCTCTGGAAAGTAGTTGTAATTCTGAGTGATCTCCAGCCCTCACCTGGAGATTGGACACATTTTACCTCAGAACAGCAAAACTGTTTAGAATGTTAGAGGCCAGTCAAGTCGCATATGCAAACGACCTCTGTATTTTCTGGAAAGTAGTTGTAATTCTGAGTGATCTCCAGCCCTCACCTGGAGATTGGACACATTTTGCCTCAGAACAGCAAAACTGTTTAGAATGTTAGAGGCAAAAGCCAGTCAAGTCGATATGCAAACGACCTCTGTATTCAGAGGCAGAGGCCAATGAGGCTGCATATGCAAAGAACACAGACTGGCTATGGGGGCGAGAGGATTAGCAAAATGTTTAGAATGTTGGAGGCAGGACTCAGGCAAAGCAGCCAGTGGATAGGGAGACCCTCTGAATGACAGATCAGAGAGCGAACTGATTTCGGCTTTTATTTATAAGGGAGATTCCAAAACAGAAGAGGCACAAAATATAGTTAGAAATTGGGTACAAATAACCTGGAAATTAATTTTATTCATAATTTTTGCAATTCTTCCATTCCTTTATCCTCTTCTTCCTTTTCCAGTTCCCAGTTGATTTTTCTTGGTCAGAGGTTTGCTGTGCATCCTGTCTTGGAGAATAAACAATAACTAGGAGCGTGTTGTGTATTTGTGCAAATTGTTTTATGTATATGAATAGCAGAGAATATAAAGACCTTGGTTGTTTTTTCTCACTGCAGCTTGAAAAAGTTGAACTGCTGAATATTATTCCTCTAGTTCGATCTGTAAGTCCAAGACTAGGTGATATTCAAAACATCTCCTTGAGAATTACCCCTGAGATTGCAAATGGAGAAATTGGTTTTATCAGCAATCTTCCAATAATTTTACATGAGCCAGAGGATTCTATTACTACAGTAGTAAGTAAATGTTTTCTTATATTGTCCTTGTTGCATATTTATTTACAGAAAGTAGAGCCTGTCTTCGCGTAGTGCAGATGTTTGCACAGGAAAGCACGATTTACTGTATTAAAATATGCCATGTCTTGGTTCTCTAAGGCAAAATAACCTTAAAAAGCATGATTCACAGTTAAACTGAAATGACATCCAGGTTTTGTATCACGTATGGAAAAGCTACTCAAAGGTAATAGTTTTAATGGTCATACAGATGTAATGAAAGCTATGCCATCCTATTTCCAAATAAAATCAAGCAACAGATATGCCAAATGTAGATTAGTCCATTTTATCTTAAATTTTCCCCCTGTAGAGTATATGTGTAAAAGGACACTCGATGGAGAAGTATAGCTGTGGTCTGAAAGATCACAGCCACAATACTAGCTTCCATAGCTGTCTTGAGGAGCAGGTTAACCCATCAATGATCATATTTTTTTCCCATAGGTTCCCCTGGCTTTAGTCATTTGAACAGGCTGTGTCTGGAATGGGTGGTTCCATGCTCAGTCCTTGCATTGGCATTCCTTCCCAAGCTGTTCTGGGCAGCTAACAAAGAATATTTTAAGCTTGAGTATGCGTCCTCTTCTGTATTATCGCGATCAGGGCTTTTTTTTTTTTTGAGAAAAAGCCCAGCAGGAACTCATTAGCATAATAGACCACATCCAACAGCAGAAACTCATTAGCATATCAGGCCTCACCCCTTACAGTGCAGCTCATTAGCATATTAGGCCCTTGGAAGGGAGGGGAGGCAGTTTAAACTATAGAATGAGAGATCTATATGTAAATGGGATTCCCTTTACTGTGATGTAATTAGAAGAAAAATTGCAAGGAGAGTTAAACTGGTTTTCGCTATATCAACTGCATTACCTAATTGTAAATTCTATGGTAAAGCAAACCATGACTAGGAAGCTATTGAAATTTGAACAGATTTTAATGCAACATATGACAAGCAATGTTCCCTCTAAGCTGTGGAGTCTTGTGTGCAAAAATTCTACTTTCAGAGCTACCGGCATTAAAGTTGTGAGCAGGCGATTTGTCTGCTGCATAAATTAGCTTGCTCTGGAGCCCTCCTTCCTGAGCTAAGGCAAAAATCTGTGAGCCGGAGGCTGAAAAACTGTGAGCTAGCTCACGCTAACTCAGCTTAGAGGGAACACTGATGACAAGTCTAAAAGGAGTAACCTCTAAAATATACGCATATCTAATTGAGACAGATTCAGGTTCATTAAATGAGTTGAAAATAACATGGGAGAAAGATATCGGAATAAAGATTGAGCAAAATATCTGGAATAAGAGATGGTTTACCCAAACAAGGAAAACTATGTTAATAGCTCTTAGAGAGAACTCCTTGAAATTATTATACAGGTGGCATCTCGCTCCAGTTCGCCTTACAAGAATAACCAATACAAATAATAAAAAATGCTGGAGAAAGTGTAATCAGCAAGGTGATTATATTCACATGTGGTGGCTGTGCTCAGTAGTGTCACAGTTCTGGGAGAAAATTTTTGCAGAAATGGCAAAAATTACACGTAAAACCATCTGTGTTACACCAGCTTTGGCCCTATTAAGAATATGGGAGAAACAAAATGAAAAGGTGACTTCTAAAGGACTAATATTGGTCCAAGATACAAAAAATGCTATCTGAGATGATGGAAACAAATATAACTTTAACACCTGAAATGACTCTGCTAAACATAATTCCTGATAGATTTGAACAAAGAGATGTGTATTTATTGATATATGTATTAACTACTGCGAGAATACTCTTAGCCAAATACTGGAAAGTAGAAAAGACCCCGTCAAGAGAAGAGATAAGGGTTAAGGTTTTAGAGTTGATACAAATAGATAAACTAAATTTGATACTACATGGGAAAGATGATTGTATCCATAGCAGTAGATGGGCTAGAGTATATAAATGGATAAAGGAAACAGGAGAAAATTAGACACAAATGTATATATGGATTTTTACATGTATTATGATAAAACCATAAATAAAACTTAAAAATAAAATAAAAATAAAGGACTAATAGTGTTTATGTTAATGGCAGCGTCCAGGACAGTCACTAAAAGTTGGAAAGCCGCAGAATTATTAACATTACACTCATGGTATTCTGAGTTATGGCAGATTGCAATAGCTGAGAAATTAACAAGTCAAATTAGAATAATCAAATCCAAAGCCAAAACGGTAGACTTTTTTGAAACGTGGTACAATTTTATTTTATATACAACTCAGAACAATACACAAAGTATGTTTAAGCCCTTCCTCAGATTATGGGATGAAGTTAAATAAGCCTCTCTCTGTACTTTAATCATGTTGTAACTATATATTAATTATGCATGTTTATAGGAAAAGAAAAAAGAAGGGGAAAGAATTCCTTCTATTTGTATTTATGCTGAATGTTGAGCTCCCTACCAATGCCTTAATTTGCTAGTTTTTCACTTTCCTTTTCTTTTTTTCTTATCTTTTTTTGGTGTTTTTGTTTTTGTTATTATGTGTATACTGTAGGTTGTTTTCTATTTGGGGAGTGGTGTGTGTACTTGATGTTTATGTCTGGTTTTTTAAATAATTAAATAAAATTATTTTTTAAAAACTTCCTTCCCTTGGCTTGCCTGGGTGTCCTGCAGCTGTGGGGATCCCAGGAAAGCTGGCCCTTGGAAGGAAGGGGAGGCAGTTTAAACTGCTTTCCCTTAACTTGCCCGGGCGCCCCGCAGCTGTGGAGAGCCCGGGCAAGCAGGCCCTTGGACAGGCCAGGGAAGGCATGGGGAGGCATTTAAATGCCTCCCTGATCCTTCCAGGGCCCCCCTGGCCCGCCCACCTCGGAGTCGTCGGGGGGGGGTCACTCTCCAGGCTTTCCCTCTGTAGCCACGCACGCAGAGGTTTTGGCTGTAGTGTAGTTTTGCCTGTGTGTTCCTGCCCAATAGCCCTGATCCTGATGTTGAGCTGGCTGCTCCAGCTGCTGCTACTTCTAGCCTTGTCTCTTGGTACTGCCTGTCAAGGAGCTTTAGGAGATTCCTGAAAGGAAGTATGAACATTGCTGCTGCTCTCAGGATGATGTTGGGACACTTCTGGATTGGTCTACTTTCTTTCAGTTGTGCTGCTTGTCTGATGTGATTGCCAGACACTTCAGTAGGCACTAGCTTTCCTTTCAGCATGATTTGTTGATTGTAACCCTTCCCACAAGGTGACATTTAAAAAAATACTGCACAATTTTCCAAAGTTTTGCACATACACAGGGTGCTGGGGTGTTTTTTTAAAAAAATATGTAATTTTGGAGATATGCCAGACAAAATTTTGAATTAACTGAGCTAGTGTGACAATAACCAGAGCTGTACATGTGTTCAAGAAGTACAAAACTCAGTATGCATTCTAGGTCTCTATTGCCTTGCATCGAGATGGAACAGATGGACAAGCCACTGTGTTCTGGAGCCTGAAACCTTCTGGACTCAATGCAAAAGCAGTAACAATGGATGATATAAGCCCATTCTCTGGTTTTGTTGTGTTCTTGTCTGGACAAAGTGACACAGAAATCAACATCACCGTCAAAGCTGATGATAGCCCTGAAATGAATGAGACTCTGATGTTATCACTAGACAGGTATTGTTCTTTAACAATTTGTAGGATGTAAATGGAGATATACGTTCTGATTTTGCAGTATCGAAGACAGCTGCTTAATGCAGCATGTTCATAAACAAGTGTGATTCATAGATAAGTTTCTTACTGTCTTTTCCCTTGTGGATAATATGAAAATGAACAATTGTTATGATGCTGGATGTCTACGAAACTTGTTTCTATATTTCCTATAAGAGATATAAGGGTTGCCAAGTCCCACTGCCCTACCACCTATCAGCTGGCTGGCAGGGGGGATCTTACCCTGAAAAAGAGGGAGAGCCATTTGACATGCAGTGACATGTCTACATCACTGCCCATGTGACCCAGAAGGGGTCATCCCATCCGGGTTGTCAGGGGGGTGCTCTGGCATTGGGAGAAAAACTCTATGGTAGAAGTCAAGTTTACCATAGAGTTTTTGCCCAAATACCAGAACATCACCCCTACATCCCTGATGACTGCACATCCGGGTCATGTGGTCAGTGACGTAGACATGTCACTGCACATCACATGGGCTTCCACCCTGCTCCCGGTAAGTCCCCCCACCCCCTGCCAGTTGCCAGGAGGGACCTGGCAACTCTAAACAGATAACATTGCTTTATGACCTAATCATACTGAATTTCTATTTCAAGGTCTTATAGTGATATATTTCTGTTGAATGGTGCCTGTAAAATCTGATTCTTACTCTACAGTATTCAGAATTGATAAGCAGGTAGAGCTTGATGTTCTTTAGTGATATTTCAGTATTTTTTTCTACTGCCTCGATGGGCATTCCATAGTTTGATTTTTACAGGACGTATCCCTCATAATTATACACAGAAAGTTAGGCTTTTTGTATTTAAAATTGTTTTCCCTATTGGAATCTGCTTTCTGCAAGGCCTACTTTGCTTCATGCTAAAGAATTTTCTGAGAATTCAAGGCATTTACTGACTTGTTGCTAAAGATGTATTTGGGTAATCTGTCCTGAAAATATATATTTTTTAATTCTTCTTTTGATCATCCTCACTGGAGGGTGGCAACCAATGTGTATCATGGATACTGTGTGGTACTAGTATACTGACAGACTCAAAATATTTAATATTGCTTCAAAGGCAGTCTTTTTTCCTTTAAAGTATAGCTGGACAACTGCCTCAGAATTTTGAAAATGCCTCTCTTTTTGTTATGCTTATTAATATTTAAAAATTAAAATATTGGCACAAGTTCATCTAAGTGTGCTTATTTTTCTAGGCAATGCTATGTAGATTGCTTTTTAATGTTGCTTGAATGGTAAAAGAGTCGGTTTTACCTATTTCTTGTCTGTAGTTGCATAACCTCGTTACTGGCCTTCTCTCCTGCAAGCTTTCCCCAGTTCAGTCAGTTCATGATTCATAACGCTACTCTGAAAATGATTTTTCTGCCGTTACTATGGTTATTTCCCTGTGTGGCTTCCAGCAACATCCCACATCAGCTTCAAATTCCTGGCCCTTAAATGTAAGGCTGTATCTGCCTGTGAGTGTTTCCTCTGTTATTCCTGTAATTGCTTTCCCAACTTGTCCAAGGCTCATCTGCTGTTAATCCATCCCCACTGTTCTCTTCTTTCACTTTGCTGTCTGCTGTATAGTCTTATGAATTGGAAAGAGTTGCTCCTTTTTTATCCATCAGCGGCTTAGTCCTTAGAGTCACTGTGCCAGTGGCAGTTAGCCACCAACATAATAACGGTGGTACTGGTCTGATCCCTATGGAAATTCTGTGTGTGTGTGTGTGTGTGTGTGTGTGTGTGTGTGTGTGTGTAGGGGGAACAGCACATACTCCTAGAGTCCCTCCTGGCAACTGGCGGGGGATGGGGGGCATACCGGGAACAGGAGGGAGGCCCGGTCGATGTGCAGCAACGTGCCTGTGTCAGTGTCCATGTGACCTGGAGGTAGGGTTGCCAGGTCCTTAACTTCTGCTGGCAGAGTGCTCCAGCCTGCTTCCCTGGATCTTCTGGCACGTATGTCTCCCAGAACTGATGTCATCATGCTGGGCATGTTGTGCAGGGGACGCTCTAGCATTTGGGCAAAAACTCTATGGTCTCCATAGAGTTTTCAGCCAATACTAGCATGTCCCCCCACGCAACATGCCCAGCGCAATGATGTCACCTCTTGTTGATGTCATCATGCCAGGCACGTTAAGCATGGCAGGGCTCTTCGAGGGCGGGGCTCGCCCACTGACCAGCTGGCTGGTGGCGGATTGGGTCCCCCCAAATTGGGGGGATGGTAACCCTACCTGGAGGTGACATCATCATGCAGCAATGTCAGGCGAGGTTCTGGTATTTGGGCAAAAACTGTATGATAAATTTGGCTTCAACAGAGTTTTTGCCCAAATATCAGAATGTCACCCCGACGTGATGACATCACTTAAGGTCACATGGGCAGTGACGTAGACCCATCGCTGCACGTTGGCTGGGCCTCCCTCTTTTGAGGGCTAAATTCCCACCACCAGCCTGCTGATTGGAGGTGGGTCAGTGAGACCTGATGGCAGGGGACCCTCACCTCCATGGGGGCGGGTCTGGCAATCCTACACACCCCTCTGCTAGTTGCAGACTGGATAGTGAGTGCGCTGGAGCCCATAGCAACCCTGGCAACACCTACCAATAAAGCAGCCATGTCTGATGGTGTTCCTTTGAATGGCATGCAGAGGCAAAGCCAATCACCAACTGCCAATGTAGCTACTGCCACTCCCTCTCCCACAAAGTGCCAGAGGACAAGGAGGGAAGACCTAGTGACAGCACAACCCCAACATAGGCACATGGCCTGAGTGTCCTTCCTGTAGCCCACAGGAGAAGGGTCCTGTGCCCTAGCAAGGGTCTGACAGCCACCATCCCTGTTCCAAGCCACACAACCCTTCCCCTGAAGAATAAAAAATTGAAAGGTGTAACTGTTAGCAAAGAGCTGTGGAAGAAGTTATCTGAATTTAAGAACACCCTTGTGGTTGACTTTATTGCACAAGAACGCTGAACTGATAAAGAAACTTCGAAACGAACGGTAACTCGGGAGGTTCGTCCGTTCATCTTGACGTCATCATCTTCTGTTTGGTGGCGCCCCATTGTTGAAAAACAAAGATTAAAACATCATGAAGCTCATCAGTACTATTGTTTAATTATTGTCTATTATTCTTAATTGTATGCACTTTGCAGCAATCCATTGTGTTCAGTTGCCATGCCAGTGGCCAGTCACAGTGTGGCACCAATGCAGTGCTACACCAGTGTATCTCTGATGGTGGAGCAGCTGGTCAGCTCTCTGACTTCCACCAGCAGCCATATGGGGCTCAGGATTGTGCTGTAAATCATCTCTGGCTTCTCCAATGCTGTCTCAAAGCTAATTATTTCTAAAGCTTTTCCTGAACCATCATAAGAACATGCTGGTATTGAATCAGACTGCTGGTCCACCTAGTCCAGTAAACGTTACCTAAGAGCATGTCTCGCAGGTTTTCAGGCAGAGGTCTTTCTCATCTGTTTGTCAATCTAGTGCCACCAGTTGCTCTTCATTTGCACTTTAATCAAGTCATGTCATTCACTTTTGTTATTTTATAACTGTGAGGTCTGTTGGAAGGGATTGTGATATTTGCAGAGTGCTTGCACCTGACACACTGTTAATTTCATAAAAATATTAATTGTTAAGCCATAGTTACAAATGTGCCTTTTCTGTGTGGTTTATTTTCTTCAGCAAATTGCAGAAGCCACCTTTCTCATTCCCTAGGTATTCTCTGCAGAAAAGATTTTCTGAGCAACTCCCACTAATATCAATGGGCACCTGTGCAGTGTGGCTTGTGTTCCATCTGTACCACTTAACTTACGGCTACATGCCTGGGTGTAAATCCCCTTGAATATAATGGGACTTACTTCTCAGTAGACCTGCTTAGGATGGCTCCCCAAGATACACAGTGAGCTATTAAAAATTTAATTTATAGTGAAACAACTGTTGAAGAAAGAATATTGGTATCTGAGGCTATATTTCTACTTTCATCATCTGACCGTGTGTGTGTGTGTGTGTGTGTGTGCGTTTTGTGCTTCTATTATAAGCACTTGTTTAGAGCTGAAGCAGTGTGGGGCTTAGAAAATGCTTTCCTTGTTTACAACATTCTTCCCGTTTGATTTACAGAAAAAGCAGTCACAAATAATGCTTCATGCTGTTTTAATTCCTGTTTAAATAAGGGCATTCAAATATGTCCCCATTACAAAATTTGGACAATGGCAACCCCTGCCCTTCCTTTATCTGCTGGAACAATTGTTTGGGCAGCTTAGTGCAATGACAGGTCCTGGAGGCATGTACATCTATGAATAAAATGGGCTTCTTTTGTCTAATTAAAAGCACTGAGTAATTACAAACGGTGCTGAATAAAATTTACTCAACTGCTGTGGCTTGCCACAGTGCTTGGCAGTCAGCAGCTAGTTCTTAGAGCAGAGCTGGTAACGAAGGCCTTGAATGGTCCTTGACATTCCAATTGGTCATGGGGTCATCTCCCATGAGTGGGAATTGCCAAACCTCTTGCTCGCATTAGTCAAACAAGAAAGTGCCAAGTAAGTAGGATTCCCAGAAAGTGAACATTAGCTGCTAGGAAGGTGCTGGGTTTTTATCCCTCATTTTCATTTTCGCTCTCCAAAGAATTCCTGTCTTAAAAAGAATCTGGCAAACAGCGTTTTCATTTTATCCCCCCCCCTCCTTATTTTTCTCTGTATTGACAGGGTAGAAACAGAAAGGTTTGTCGTGTACTTTGGGTAAGTGCAGCAAACTGTGTCTTTGTCTTCAGTGAATCAACACTTTGTTTTGGAAGTGGTTGGTCTGGACAAGACTCTGTCTCCTTTAGTATTCCTCTCCTTCTGAAGCACTGTGCCTTACGGACCTCCTCAGGCAATGCATGCTTCCTGTTGCTATTTTATTTGGGAGCATGGGGTGGCAGACTGAAAACGCTCCTTTATGTAAGGCCTGTGAATAATAAAAAAAAGTTATAAATGCATGGCTTAGCGTTTGATGTTTTTAAGATAGCTCAGAACAGAAGACTGGTTGTTCTGGTTTACCACTGGAAGATCTGGCCGTGCAAATATGGTATAATTGAGCTGTATAATGAGGGTGAAACAAAAATTGCTTTCTACAGATACATTCAAATGTTTTGTGGGCTTTCACTGCTGTGTGTTTAGATAAAAGCTAAATTTTTCCATTTTAAAATCTTGTTTTCTGTGCTCTTTGATCAAAGACATTCTCCAGCACATGAACAGGAACCTAAAGTATTCTTTAACAACTGTTGAACATCCCATCAAGAACTTAATGTTTGGTTGAGTTAGGTTGCATTCAGATATCCCATCAAGCTAACAATAAGCCTGAATGTGGCCAGCACTGATGCCAGTCTTGCACATGTGCCTTCCTGTTTCCTCCTTCCTCTCTGTTCTCATCCAAAGCTCATTGAAGGATTGTAGTTTTAAAATGGTTACTTATGAAGGATAAATGTAGTTGTGAGGCTCCTCCCTCACTTGTGTGCTGTTTCACTCTCCGGGGTTTCCCAGGACTCAAAATAGAAAGGCAGGGGGGGAAAGGGTTGTGTCACTAGCTTTGCCCGCAAGACCTGAGCCATTAACTGGGCCAGGGTTAGAGCACTATTCACCCCGTCTCGGCTATGAAGCTCTATTCACCCAGCCTAGGGATACCAGCCCTAGAGTTTCCCCACCTGGATCTGGCAGCCCTAACCCCCTGGCCAGAGGGGGATCTGGCTACCCTAACTCAGTCTCCTACTCCATCCTTAGTGGTCCTCCCACTTTCTTTCAATGACTGCTTCCTGAGAGACCTTCAGCCAGGCCCTCCCTCTTGGTTCTTCCCAGGTTCTTGCATGGTAGGGCTCCTCCCATCCTTTCCCCAGGCTGTCACAGTTGGGTTTCGGTTTGCTACTTCCATGCTTGCCAGCTGACCTGATGGCCTCTGAGGTTCCCCCCCCCAACATCATCTATGTTGTCCTGGCACCGTGAGATGACACCATCAGCCAGTGCCTGAGGCTCTGGAGCCCAGGAGGGAGGCAGTGAGGCCCATGTCCAGTTTCTGTGGCTACCTGCCACCCTGGTCTCATCCTGGGAGTTCTGACCAAGTCAGTGGTAGTTGCCTAAGGTACGAGGGAGGGTGGGTAGGTCCCACGGCTTCTGCGGCATTGAGGAAGTCCGCAGCATTGACACTGGCCCTGGACAATAGGCATGTGGCTTAGGTGGTTGTTCCCATCCCCTACCCTGAAAACACACTGGGGTTCTAAACCTTGATTAATCCCAAATTACGATTTTAAGAATCCAAGCTTTTTCTGGGGAAAGCTAACTGCTTAAGCAGTGCACTTGCATTTGTACATCATGGGTAACTGGAGTTACTTTTCAACCAGGATACCTTCATCATGCTCTGCCTGACAAGGAAGAAAGGAAGTGTGTGAAACCAGCGACAAGCTGACTTTATGCACATGCAGGCTAAATTTTGACTTGATGTGATTTAGTGGCAGCTATGTTCTAAAGGTTTCTTGTGCAGATCTGTAGAACCAAATTTATTAGATTTGGAACTCCAACTGTCGAATGCTGTCCAAGGTGAAACTGGAAACAAAACATCTGAAAAAAGCCTTGAGGTTTTGTCTAAAATATTGACAGTATTGAGATGTTATTTTTTAAAAAAGGGTTAGCATTAAAGTTTGCACTCCCCTGTTCACCTTCATTTTTGCAGATGACGTTTGCCCCTAAGTTTCATAACTGTTCTTTATTTGGCTTTCTCTCCGTGTTGTGTGCATGTTTAATTGCATTTTTAAAATGCAGCCAGTCGGCCTAAATATGACCGAATAGAACTTTTTTTTGACAAACTTGTAATTTTTTTGTGGTTTGTGGTTAAAACATTTACAAAAAAAAATCACAATTTGTTACTATGGGATAATGGGGGGGGGGACAGCCAAAATTCTGTATACCTTTCCATATGGTATAATGCATTTAATAATTTATATTCTGTATACCTTTCCATATGGTATAATGCATTTAATAACTTTCACGTTCACTGACAGGCTGGTAAAGTGGCATTGTGTTTCTTTTCCCAGGGTTAGTGTCAAAAATCAGATCTTGAAATCTGGATTTACAAGCCGTGAATTGATTATTGTAGAAAATGATGATCCTGGGGGAGTGTTTGAGTTTTCATCTTCTTCCAGAGGACCCTACAGGATAAACGTAAGTGTCCTCAAATTAATTCCACCCATAGTAGAACAGCACCATACAATAGTGAGTTTTCTGTATCTTTGTTTTCTTTTAAAGGAAGGAGAGTCTGTTGAACTCCATATTGTCCGCTCCAGGGGAACTCTTATCAAGCAGTTTCTACGCTACACTGTAGAGCCAAGAGATGGCAATGAGTTCTATGGAAGTACAGGAATCCTAGAGTTTAAACCAGGGGAAAGGGAAATTAAACTTACTTTGCTAACAAGGATGGATGGCATTCCAGAGGTAAAGAGACAGATTTTCTTTTTCTTTTTTTTAAACCCCTTCCTTGTGCCTGATTTGGAATTATACTTGGTATCTCAAATCCCAAATCTCCCACACTGGAGGTAATGCAAAGTAGTTTGATGGGGTTCCTGGTTATACATTAAAATATGTACTTTCCCCTGATCTGGATGGCCCAGGCTAGCCCGATCTCATCAGATCTTGCAAGCTAAACAGGGTCGGTCCTGGTTAGTATTTGTGTGGGAGACAACTGACGAAGTCCAGGGTCACGACGCAATGGCAAACCACTTCTGTTTGTCTGTTGCCTTGAAAGCCCTACAGGGACACCATAAGTCAGCTGCTACTTGATGGCACTTTCCACCTACAGCTCTGTTTTTCCATTCTGTATCCTCTGCTTTTTATGAATCAGCGTTGTATTTCTTCGTGCTGCAGCTAATGGCTTGAGGGAGTTAGGAGTTCCCAAACTTAAATTCCTGTTCTCAGGGATTCAGTTGCTCTAGCAAGTTAATATAGAGGAAGTAGACTTGGCAACTACCTGTAGAAAAAGTCCCCTTAGCAGAAGCTTAATGGGATGTTGTTTACCAGGTGATATTGTTTACCCCCATGTTATGAAAAGCTTCAGTTGCCCATTTCCAAACATTAAACCTCTATTAAAGGGACAGAACATTATTTTCCAGACCTGTTGGTAACCCTAAGTGAAAGATATTGATGAATAGTTATTAAGTTATCCAACATAAAATAGTAAGAATGGAGTTCATGATGGTGCAGTTTATGCGGCATGTTTGTTATTAATCAGCTTCGGGATTGGTGGCCTGCAGTTTTTTTGCTTGCAACATTTCCACAAGATATTTTAATGGAAATCTGTCATTTGTGGCGAGGAAAAAATATTTTATGAATGGAATACGAGTCGTTTTGGTTTGCGTGAATTTGGCAGTACAATAAGTACAACTACCAGCATGACAAATCACAACTTTATTAAACATAATCTGGTGAGGAGTAGAATTATTATCATAGAAGACTCAAGTGTCTGTTCCTTGTTTATTTCTTTTTAAAATATCAGAATACTATCCTTTCTGAAACCATTCTTGGAAATGTTGGAAATGTAAACATTTTAAATTAATGCCTTGCATGGCCTGGGACTGACATACCTGAGGGACCACCTCTCCCCATATGTAACCGGGAGAGCCTTGCACTCTGCTTAGCAAGATCTGCTGGTTGTTCCTGGCCCAAGGGACATCTGTTTAGCCTTTTTCTGCCCTGACACTGGCCTCGTGGAACACCCTCCCATGTGAGATCAGGGCCCTGAGGGATCTTTGACTGTTCCGCAGGGCCTGTAAAACGGAGCTGTTCTGCCAGGGCTTTGTTTGAGGCAGCGGGTGTCCAGTAAAAACAGCTTGGCCTCCCCTGCTGAAGATGCTACCTCCATGCGGCCCAGGTTGAGCAAACCCAGAGTCCAGCAGCACCAGTATCAGTGCAGATTGGTTTTGAATGCTGTTTTAATGTTTTAATTATTATTATGTTTGTATTGCCAAATGGCCTTACTATTGCTGTGATCCACCCTGAGCCTGTTCGCAGGGAGGGTGGGCTATAAATGTAAAAAATAAATAAATTAAAAATAACATCAAAGACATTTGCTGTGTTGTCAGTCCATGTGGTTGTTCTGATTTAGTTTCTTTGTTCTAGCTGGATGAATTTTACTTGGTGGTACTCAGTGGCCATGGTGAACTGCCAAGTAAGCTGGGGAATGCCACGAGAGTCAGCATAACTATTCTGAAGAATGATGATCCACATGGAATAATTGAGTTTGTTGAGGAAGGACTGACAGTAACTATAAATGAAAGTAAAGGGGGAGACATCTGTGCTGGTAATTCCTTATTTTCATTGAAAATTTAGTCAAATTAACACTTATTTCTAGTTGAGTCATGTTGTATCTCAGAGCCCTTCTCATGTTATTTTCATGACATAGGAGCTGCTGCAGCACAGTTTCTCCCTGTTTCTATTGAGCCAGATACATTGGGTCACATCAGAGAACCCAACAGTCGGCTCCTTTTCATACCACTGTTCAGGTTTTCCGGGGGGCTGCCATAGGCGTGGAGAAGAGCTTTAGTGTGTTGATCTTCCTACAAGGCTTCAGGTTTCTGACATTACTTTCATGGCAGAGAAAGAACTATGCTTCAGTGGTTCCCATGCCACAAAGACAACATGATAAGGGGCCCCTGGTTCTCCTTCAGTGGGGGAAGTAATCCAGGCTGGTTAGGTCAAGCCTCCTCTTTCTCCAGGCAGGGCTATGCAAATTTTGTATGACTCCTGGGCCAGAGCGAGGCTGCCCTTCCTGTTTCAGTAGCCCTTCAGCTCCAGCAGGACGCTTGAGCCTAGCTCTGCTTCTTCTGAATTAAAACAAAAACAAAAACAAAACAAAACCCTTACTTCTTGGATCTTCCTGGTAGGGAGGAGGACAAACTTTCCAAGAAGATGCCTGGATCAGCATCTAAAAAGAAAGAAGACTCTCCTGCCTGAAGCTTTGGGCATAGGAGAATAGCAGACTAAGGACCTGACTATTACAGCCACTGCCGCAGGCAAGGCAGGAAGACCCAAAGCTTCAGGTCCCCCCCTGAGCTCTCTATCACCAGTGCTAGTGGTGTGATTCCATTTGAGTCTTCAGCAGATGTAAGATGCTAAGAAACAGCAACATTAACAATCATCAATATGTGCAAAAGAGTCATTTTCATGAGTTGGTTCCAAAAAACAATCTGCACCAACAAGATTTAAAGGTCATATGATTTAGGCAAAGAGGGAGCATAGTTAAATTTGCAGTGGCTCTTAAACCTTTTTTCCTCTCTTTATTTGTCTGATTTTTACTGTCATTAAGTTGTATTTTGAAGAAAACATATGCTTGTGTTTCAAAGCTGTGTTCAGTATTATACGAAATCAAGGGACCTTTGGTAATGTGACTGTGTCCTGGGCAATTCATCCAGTTTCTACAAAAGACATCTACCCAGAGCAAGGAACAGTTTTCTTTGGAAATGAGGAATTTTCAAAAAATATCACTGTGTATTCATTGCCTGATGAGGTAAACATTTTTTACACAAATGGTTTCTGGGTTGGGTGGGTAGGTGGGGCTTCTGTTTATAACCAAAGAAAAGGGTTGTTGCATATCATAGTGAATTCTTCTGAAGATGTGGCGTCTTTCAGAAAGTCCTCTTAATTTTAATTCTGAAAGTTTTCATTATGGCTCCAGTTAGCTGATCTGAAGAATTTGGAATTGAGCTCCAATAATAGTGGTATATATTTTTGATAGTTAATAATCAGAACAAGGAAACAAGAGCTCATGTTGCAGAATGCAGCTGAAATAAAGTTACAATCTAGAATCATGTGAGAATTATTGAGCTTGGACCAAAAAAGGCAGTTGATTTTTTGTTTGCTAATGACCTCTTTTGCTCATAATGTTCCTTTGCTCATTCTCTTTTAAACTTGTCTTGCTGGATATATGTTTATCAACATAATGGTTTCCCTCTTTTTCTCATAGAAAAAAATAAAATTAACTTAAAGATATGTAGGCTTTAAAAAAATGATCCACTGGTCAAAGCTCTTAGAAAATATTGTCAAGTGTTCACATGCATAAGCGAGTGAATTATCAAAGTTCAAGCACCTCAGCTAGAACTGTTGTATTTAAATGCAATGTTTTTTTCTTGTGAAGTCAGTCCAGCTATTTAGTTGTGTGAATCATCAAGGCTTTACACAACTGAAGGCATATGCATGTTCAAATCAGCTATATTTGAGTGAGTATACTGCATGGAACAGCTGGGCTAAGAATGAGCATTAGCTTTCAACTGAAGGCAAAGGACAGAGAATCTTGGATGATGTGTATGTAAAGAGGCATGGTTAGAATGTAGTACTGGTGCAGTGACTGACCAGGGGTAGACCAACTTGCTAACTCTGAAGCAGGATATGAGACTTCAGGATTTTCATGTTCTCTCTGGTTGCTAACCACCAGTTATTTGCCAGACTAAAAATAAAGGTGAGTAAACAGAATTTTACATATATAATAAAGATCATAGTAGTCTGCTTGCACCAACACCAAAGACATGTCTGCTTGCACCAACATAGACAAAGGTAAAATTAGGATCAGAAATATATACTTCTATGTAGGGAGAACTTGAACATCATGTATGAAGCAGCTGTGTGTTGATTACTGATATTTTAAGAATCCTCCGTACTCTGGGAGGTTAACATACTCATCTTTCATACTGAAAAGAAACAAAATGTTCAGAATTGCAGGGAAATAATGAAAGTGGGAAAACACTAGTCCAGGTTAAAAGGCTGAATGTAAAGGTGTCCCATACTTTGTGCAGCAGGGTTGTATGGGGAAAGGGAAACTGAATCTCCAGATGTTCTTCTTACTCTATCCTCCACAACCCCTTTAATAATCAGACGCATGAGAGCTGCTATAGAACTTATCCTCATATAGTGCTGTGCAAACTGTTGTACAAGCATTGGTGGAATGGTGCTAGCGTCCTTGTTCTTCTGGCGGTGGTTCTTAGGATTGCCAGCTGCCTGGAGGAAGAAGTTCAGTGGCTTTAATTGATGCTGAATGGGATGTTATTTACCAGTGGGTGTTATTTACTTCCATGCCATGAAAAACTGCTCACTACCCATTTCCACACATTAAGCCTTTATTGAAGGGGCAGGACATTTTTCTCCAGGCCAGCTGGCATACTTAGTGGTTCTTTAGATCCATCTTATTAAATCCAGCATATTTAACACCCAGTGATTTCAGTGGGAGGTGGTTAAGTACATGCTTCTTGTAAGTGCAGTGTATCATGATAGCTTAAAGAATGAAAGGTAAATATAGGGAATCTAGATTTCATTATTCTGCAACTCTTTATGATTGTCTTAAAATCCTCCTGATGTGGAGAGAGTACACTATTATTTATAAACATTAGTGCATTGCAGTTCTTCCATTCCATTATCTTTAGAAGTAACATAGATTTGCTTCATGTTCCCCCACCCAGGTACCTGAAGAAATGGAAGTATTCATCGTTAATCTTTTCAATACTACAGGGGATGCAAGAATGGGAAATAGAACCACTGCAGTCCTGCAGATCACCAAAAATGATGATCCAATTTATTTTGATGGTAAGAGATCTATTCTGTAACTTAAATTTAAATGTGCACTCTTAAGAGAATAATAATTTTCTTTTGAACAGGATAAATATGAATAGCACAGTTTCTGTGTTTATTTATTAAATTTAAAAACCAACCCAGTTTCTGTGTTTATTTATTAAATTTATATACCAACCACCCCCCAATTTGGGGCTCAGGGCAGTTAATAATTATAATAAATACTATAGCTATAGGTGGACAGATAAAATTTAAAACATTAAAAACAACAATAATCAGACTAATCAGATGGCACTGAATATTCCATATCCTTCTCTAGAGGGGAGGAGACGGGGAGGCCAGGTATGATGGCAAACGGTTGCTGTCCTCAACTAATAGGTCTGGCGGGATATCTCTGTCTTGCAGGCCCTGCCTTTCTGCTCTTACAAAGGCCACGAAGGCAGCTAACAATTTAAAATGCACAAAATTGCATTATAAAACCGTTAAAATCAACTCCTCCCCCCAAATATAAATCTTTAAAATAATTTTAAATAATTTTTAAAAGGAGTTTAGAAAGCAGAGCTAAAATGCATACAAACAGTTAAAATACTTAATTCTCCCTCTTCTTTTTGCAATGGCAACAGATTTCCCTCCTCTATCCTAGGGATAAAGATATACAGAAGGCTTTATTTGTCCATATTTGTATGTTTCAGATCCTGTTATTGTGAAGGTCCAAGAAGGTGGCGTTGCTAATTTTGTAGTAATAAGGAATGGCTCTGCTGCTCCTGCTGCTTCGGTTATGTATACAGCTGTTAACGGAGGAGCCAGTGCTGAAGAGGAAGACTTCATTTTTAGTGAACAGAGTGGAATGCTTTTCTTTGATGTTGGGAAAAGAGAACAGAATATAACCCTCTTTATCAATGATGATGATATCCCTGAATCTGATGAGACTTTTTACATCATTCTCTTCAACTCTACAGGTTGAAATGATTTATTTGATCTATGTAAACTATGCAGCTGTTGCTTTTGTGATGTTGTTTTGTTTGCACTGTGATTGATACTTTTGGAAAGGCAATGATCATTAGAGTATTCCTGTTGCCATTCACCTCACATCAGAGCATCTATTTATATCCTTATGAACACACACAATGTCTGAATCCATGAATTTATGGCTCATTGTAATACTGCTTGAGTAGAAACAACACGAGAAAGCCCCAGCTGACTTGCTTCCTGGCTGTCTTTGTAGAGAACTGGTTCAGCTTTCATTATTTATGTTAGATTATTAGAACAGTGAAACAAACATATCCAAATGTAAAATTTATTATTAATCCTCTCCCAAATTGAAGTACATGGAGCAGAAGAAAGAAAATGATAAGCATAAAGAGGTAGAGGGGTGAATTTACAAGAGATTAAATACTGTAAACTGTATGCTGGTCTGAAGACCGTAATAAACAATAAACAAGGGATGAAATGTAATCCTTAGCACTGTGATTGCATTGTGCAATATATTATTTTATTATTCCTTTAGCACAGAATGCTTCATGGCTTCCCTATAGTGGCATGCTTATTATACCTTGTATTACTGCTGTTTCATTGAACTTGTAAACTCCAGAGGCTGTTACCCGAAAATTCACATTGGTTGGCTATAAAAAGGCAGATTGTTGTGCCCCTTATGAGGATAGTCCCCCCTCTTTCCGTAGCTGATAATAAGAGCAAGTCCAAGAATGCAGCATAAAGCCCATTGTTGTCTTAAAATCCTCCTGATGTGGAGAGAGTACACTATTATTTATAAACGACCTTATGTGTTTTCTGTTTTCAAAGGCTATCTCAACTTCTCTAACTTTTAAGGCTAGTTTGAATAATCTTCTAATTCTGGGTGATGGAAGGGCAAGATTGTGCCTTCCTGTCCTACCCACCAGATGTTCCTGTCCCACCTTTGGGCCTACCGTAGGCTGTGCACAAGTATAATGTCTGTGTACAGCCCACACGGATAGAATCCTAATGTTTTAGGCCCAAAGTGTGCTCTATTTTAATGGATTAAAAATAATATTGGCTGGATCCGAATTATTGATGCTCCTTCTTGACTGATTGCGTCTAGTTATTCTCGGTCAATTGTTTAGAGTTTTTGTTTGATTGGTATAGTTTATAATTTTATAATTTTAAAATGTTTGTTAGTCACTTTTGGATCTGCTGTGTTGAAAAAGGATACAAAACCATGATGCTGTTATTCAGCTCTGAGAGTCAGGCCTCTGCTTGTAGAATTTCATGCATAAGCCCTCTGTGAACATTGTGCTTATGTACTCTGTGGGGGCTGGAGATAGGACAGGTGTGCTGGGTAGTGGTGGTGAGAAGGTGTATTTTTGTTCTACGAGGTGAATATCATTTAAACCAGATCCTAGCTATTTAAAATCATATATCTGGGAAAATAGGTTTCTTTTCATATATGGATCTGTTTTTCTCTTTATATTTAAACAAAACCTCGTGTAGGAGACACGGTAGTCTATGGATCTGGCATGGCAGCAGTAATTATTGAAGCTAATGATGACCCAAATGGCATTTTTTCATTGGAATCTACAGTCAAAGTCGTCGAAGAAGGCAAAACCAATAATTTTTTGTAAGTTATATTCAGCAAAATAAGTATCTTGGGAGAAAATATTTTGGGCGAAAACTTTTTCCTGCAAGTCAGTTCGTCAACATTGATACACTGGAAAGTTTTTTAACATTTGCATCTTCTGAGAAAGATTTTGGTATGTGAAGCTGGTGTTCATTTATTGGGAGCCTTTCTTGGAAGTAGATGCATATAGAGTTCCCTCTCATTTTATGATTTTGGACGCAAGAGTTTTCTGTGAGAACTGCCATAATCCATACTTAAATATTATTTATAACCTGCCTTTCTGCCCTTACAAAGGTCATCAAGGCAGCTAACGATTTAAAACATACAAGATAAAATTGCATTATAAATGCAGATGGATAAGAAGATATGAGGCATGAAATGTAAATTATGAAAGTAATAGTGCTGGACTGCACAAGCTGAATTTGTATCATATGTATCCTGTCGTTACCCATTAGTATATCTCTCAAGTCATGCTGATGGAAAATACCTATCAACTGGAGATTTGCTATGCAAATTTACACAAACATTACTTTTAAGTGATTTTTTTTGCCTTGTATTGATATATTTGTTAATCTTAGCAGTTTTTATTTTGTTCTAAGGCAATCTGTCTGGAAAGAAGCATTCTTTAGATATACAATCCATTATTGGTGGTCATTCATGAATGTGTTCAGGAGCAGCAGGGTTTAAGAAGTTATTTTTGCTTGGCTGATGCCTCTTGTTATGGTGCCAATTAACTCAGCAGGTGAAGTGTATAATCCATTGACACTCTCTAACAAGAGGATTGGTAAGCCTTAGAGATAAGTTAGTGAACCTCTAGAAATGACTCAGGTTTAAAGAACAGAGAAGAGGATTTTTTTTTGTCTGTGTGAGTGCGTGTGTTTTGTAATTGTTGTTTCTGGATTCCCCCATTTTATTTTGTTTATAGAATGTGACTGGTGCTCTTTGCTGATATGAGAGACCCTTGTAGGATTTATGTATTATTATGATGGAATTATCAAAACAGAGCACTCCACAAGCCTTTCTTGAACACAGACATACAATGAAAAGGGGCTCAGTGGGATATGTTGTACAGCTTCTTCCTGAAAGACCAAATACCCTATAGCAAAAGCGCCCTTTCCAATTCCTGCCTAGTCTTCCTTTAACTGGCCTGAGCACCTTTCAAGTATTGAGTTGGAGAGTCATTTCCCCCCACCCCCCATTCCTAGCCTTTGGGACAGTGAACATGGCACTAATGTGGATGAAACAGAGTAAGATCCAGACTTAACCACTCACATGGTAGCCATGCAGGCTCTGGTGCAATTTCTTCCAAAAAAGATCATAGTAAAGCAGGTTTTGCAAAGATTGCAGGAAAGCTGGGGAAGAAGGGTGCATGGCAGCACCATGATGCTCTGTGGAAATAGGAAATAGAACCTGGGCTGCAAATGTGAGTCAGACATAGACAGCTGGAGGGTAGGTCTACTAGCCATGATGACAAAGGGAACTTCCACATTAAGATGGCAGTAATCCTCTGAATACCAGTTCCAGGAGGCAATATCAGTGAAAGGCCTCAGCCTCTATGCCATGTTGTAGGCCCTCCAGAGTAACTGGTGGCCTGGAATGTAAGGCAGAATGCTGGACTAGATGGGCCACTGATCTGATCCAACAGGGCTCTTATATTCTTATTTTTTCCTCTCTAAAAGGTATCATAGATGTATTACATGATTATGTGAGTAATTATGACATGTGTTGGTGTTTTCTTTTTACAACTGTTGTTTGCCTAAGGAAAAGTATTCACAATGTCTGATGTCTTGTACAGGATTCTGAGGCATAGAGGTTACTTTGGGAATGTTTCCTTGACCTGGCAGTTGTTTGAGAATGGTTCTGCTCTGGACCCAGGAGAAGAGTTTCATGAAGTGTCTGGAATTGTATGGTTCAGAGATGGTGAAGGATCAAAGCCCATCACTCTTCATGCTATATCAGATAAAATTCCAGAATTCAATGAATTTTACATACTTAAGCTAGTGAATGCTACAGGTATAGTGGGCATGCCTTTTCTTGACTCTAAAAGAATACTATAGAAAATAGGAGACACCTTGATCTGTTTCTGTACTGATTTTACAGCAGTGGGTTTTATTGAAGAACTGTTGCTTAAGATCCGCTCTTTTTAAATGGTTACTGTACATTGGTTTTTAAAAGAAGTCTGTTAACTGTGAAAGCAGTTGTCAAAATAAGTTACAAAGGTCCAATTTACCGCATCAGCAAACTGGAGGGCTAAAAGCTTTTTTTGGACCGTACCATTGCAGGTGGTAAGGTTATTTAGGGTTTTTAATCTTCCCTATAGATTAACCTATGGAAAAATATGTTGGGTATAAGGGTTCGACTTAGCCTTTTTATTTATGTGCAGAAAGGTTTGGGGTTTAAGGGAGGTGAGAAGAGGCATTAAAATTTGCCCCATAAAAAATAAGGGTTCGACTTAGCCTTTTTTATGTGCAGAAAGGATTGGGGTTTAGGGGAGGTGAGAAGAGGCATTAAAATTTGCCCCATAAAATGGAATATTCCAAGAAAAGATTCATGGCTTGATTTGACTGTGCAAATTGATCCTTGGTCATTTAGTTGCCACAGAAATCTTTGTCCTGTTCTTAAATATAGGAGTATGTATGCTTCTAGCTGATTGAACCAGTGTCATTTAAGAGAGTGGTGCATGAGCTAACTTTGTTTGGAGTTCAGTTAACCTTTGTTTTTATATATATTTTAGGTGGGTATCCAGGTCCTGGTGGCCACTTATCAGAAACCAACCTTACAGTGACAGTGATGGTCCCATTTAATGATGACCCCTTTGGAGTTTTCATCGTAGATCCTGAGAGCCAGGAGAGGGAGATATCTGAAGATGTTATTTCTGAAGATGATATGTCTGATGTTACCAACTTTACAATATGGAGGCAGCAGGGAACTTTTGGAGATGTCCGAGTTGGCTGGGAAATACTGTCTGGTACATTCAGGGAAGGGTTGCCTCTGATGATTGATTGCTTGTTGCTGGGAAAGTTTTCAAGTTCAGTGCAGTCACAGCCTCACATGCGGCGGCGTCACACTGGAACAGATGCTTTGTATTTTAGTGGTGAAGAGGATGCATTTGGGGTCATGGAGCCTGAGTTCCACATCAGTAAGAACAGAACACTTGCCAACTTCACATTTTCAGTCTGGGTAATTCCTAGTGCCAAGAGTGATGGATTTGTAATCTCAAAGGACAATGGAAATGGAACCATGTATTATGGAGTGAAAATCCACACAAATGAATCCCATATTTCTTTAAAACTTTATTACACACCACTGCAGTCTAATGTAACATTTGTGGCAAAGATCACAGTCATGAAAAATTTGGATGAAAATACTTGGCTGCACCTTCTGCTCACACTGGATGATGGCATAATTGAGTTCTTCATTGATGGAAATCTGGTACCTGGAGGCATTAAGAGCCTCAAAGGAGAAGCAATTGCTGATGGTAAGCAATATGCCATGTAGAGAACTTTCTCTGTCTAAATCAATGGGAATTTTGATAAGCCCAAACTTCTTTTAGTAACAAAAGAAGTCAACAACTTGAGTTTTTTTGCTGATATGGTTTTTGTGCATGTGTCAGAAATAAATGCATGTTGTTGGATTTCTATTTTCAGCAAAAGAAAAGCACATACACAGATCAGTGTAGAGATGTGAAGGCCTGGGAAAAATGGGAAAGAATATTGGTCGCCCCCAGTTTTTCCAATGGAAAAATTGGAAAATTTAAGGGAACACTGAAAAGAAACTCCTGTGAATTTGGTGTAGTGGTTAAGTGCACAGACTCTAAGCTGGGAGAACCGAGTTTGATTCCTCCACTTGCAGCTGCTGGATGACTTTGGGCAAGCCATAGTTCTGTCAGAGCTGTTCTTGAAAGAGCTCTCTCAGCTCCACCTACCTCACAGGGTGTCTGTGGTGGGGAGGGGAAGGGAAAGGAGATTGTAAGCTGCTCTGAGACTCCAAGTGAAGGGTGGGGTATAAATCCAAACTCTTCTCTTCTTCTTCTACTAAATATTTTTCTTTTAGAATTAGTAAAATGCATCTTAAGGCAAAGTTTTTCACATTCAAAAGGCATAGTATGCAAAAGTCTGAGGACTTTTTCAGTTTTGAAAAATTGGGAAGGTTGAGCACAAAAAACATATATTGTAGGCATTACAATAGTTTCAAGATTTATTTACTGTAATGTAAATAATTTTGGCAACAATTAATATGCTATGATTTTTAAAAAATGATAATACATCCTTAAGCAAGATGGGTAGCCGTGTTAGTCTGTTTGTAGCAGTAAAAAAGAACAAGAGTGCAGTAGCACCTTAAAGACTTAACAAAATTTGTGGCAGGGTATGAACTTCTGTGAACCACTGCTCACTTCTTCAGACTTCATCAGACCATCTGAAGAAGTGAGCAGTGACTCATGAAAGCTCATACCCTGCCACAAGGTTTGTTAGTCTTTAAGGTGCTATTGGACATATGCACTTTTCTACATTCTTAAACAGTTCAGTGTTTTCAATATTATAAAGTTTAACTTAATATCCAGACATGCTGGTAGACTCTGTGAGAGAGTTTCCATCCAAATAATACAGTTACTTTTGTTTACTACAAATTGTTTCTATCTTGAACTTTTATTTTTCCCTACCTCTCTGGGGGCAAAAATGAAAGGTACATGTATTATAGTAGCATAGAATGCGACATTTTGCAACTGTTTGTCAAGTGTCAGATATACCTGCAGTTTTTCTTCTAGAAAATGAAGACATTTGTACTTTTAAATTCTGTACTTACGCCAAATAATACAATATTATCTGCTAATTATTAATGATGAATTTTATGTTGCTCAATCAGTAAAAGAAGTTTAAATTTGATAGAGGGTTGCCATTCCCCTTGCGGCACTGGGGAAACAATTGGGCCTGGGGGCTTCAGCCCACCGCCGGAAGTGATGTCAGCGCACTTCAATATCTCTGGTATTTGGGCAAACTCTATCATTTTTTAGGTCGATAAACCATAGAATTTGTCCAAATACCAGTGTCCCCCCGGCCCAATGACATCACTTCCAGGTGACATCATCGCGTTGGGGATGTTGGGCTATATCCCCGCCCACCCCCAAAACGCTCACCAAAGTCCCCCGACTAATGTACGATAAGACCTGGCAACCCTAATTTGATAGGAAAGTAGGTATAGCATATATTTCAATTTTCTAAAAATGAACACTAAATCTACATTTTAAATACTGGCGGGGAAATTTGATCTCAAAGCTACAGTTTTAAATAGCTGACTTTATGGTCTTGTACTGACTGTTCCAGTTTGAAACATGTGAATGCAGATATTGAATATCAAATTGACATTGGTTTCAGTTATCAGAGAATATTGGCAAACAATATTTGAATATACTGGTTTTGTTCTCATATTTCACAGAACAAATATATTTTTGGAATATTTTCAATTGGCTTGGCATTTGCTCACATTTTTAGTTATAACTTTGGATTTTTCCATACTGTAACAATAGGGCCAGGGCTTAGTCCCTATCTGTCATTTTTCCATCTTGCATTCATCAATATTAGTTCTTTCATACTAGGAAACAACACCAAACCTCTCCCGTCCTAGTAGGGTATGGCTTCTTTGAAAGTGATAAAATGTTGCACTAAAGATAATCTTCCAGTTTAGGTGGCAAAATACAGCATAAATGATAAAGATCTAATAAATCAAGAGGTGTACCTGGGTGGCAATTTATTATTTTTTTAAAATAATTTTGCAAGTGGTTTACAAAGATGCTTCTTTTTCAGGACCCGGGATAACAAGAGTTGGTGCTGGTATAAATGGTGGTAGCAGGTACAAAGGACTGATCCAAGACATGAGATTTTATGAACGCAAATTGACCAAGGAAGAAATCTATGAGCTCCATGCCACACCAGCAAGGACTGATTTGCACCCCATCTCTGGGTACTTAGAATATCGACAGGGAGAAACCAATAAGTCATTCATTGTTTCTGCCAGAAACGACAATGAGGAAGAAGGAGAGGAGGTGTTCATCCTTAAGCTTGTTTCTGTTCATGGGGGAGCACGCATTTCACATGAAAACACAACTGTAGTATTAAGAATCCAGAAGAGTGATAATGCCAATGGTCTGTTTGGTTTCACAGGAGCATGTATTCCTGAGGTAAGAAATGTAACAAAATGGTAAGAATGCCAAAGACCTGGTGTAATATAGCTACAAATGGCATACCACACAAACTGGTTTGTTGCCATGCTCTCTCCTGTGCCTCACCCCTGCCTCCTCCTTATATGGACCATACCAGAGGAGGTGTCCAGATTAACCACAATTAGATCTCCATTCCCACAAACCAGGATTCTAACCATGGTTTAATACAGGTTTAGGATACCCGTTTGTGGGAGGAAAGGTAATTCAATATTATTTTGACACTAAAATCACACAGATCTCAAAACAAAAGTCTTCCGGTTTTATTAAAACTTTAACTTTATGTTTTTTACTTATAGGTGTCTGAGGAGGGTTCCACTGTATCTTGTGTAATTGAACGCACCAGAGGAGCTCTGGACTATGTTTTTGTGCATTACAGTATCTCTCAGATCGATTCTGAGGGAGGTAATTTCTTTGTTGCTGATTTTGCAAACAGCAGTGGAATAATCACTTTCCGTCCAATGGAGAGATCAGAGGTAAATGCTAACTTTAAATTGAATAACCTGCTGCCTCCTACAACTTTCAGAAGCCCTCTTTTCTTTATACTTTACTGAGGCTGAGGGTATCACAATGTTGCTGAAAATTTATTCTTGGTGACTAACTACCTGTGATGAAGGTGTGATGTGTATGTATGTATTTTCACATATTATGTTAATATTTACACTAATTGGGTCCTTTCTGCACCCAGGAAAGTTGATTCCCGGGATGTATTAATAGCCATGTGGTTGGAGGGTGAACTTGCCCTCTCCTTCCTCTCTGGTCAGTGCAGCTCCATTGATGGAAGAGACAGGAGGAGTGCTTTCATTTCATTCCCCTCCCACACTATAGCTTCCTGACCCTGCATGGCTTAATAGCTACTGTAGATACCATGACCATGGGATTCAGTTCAGATGGCACTGCTGGCAGGGAGCAAAGGAAATGGAGGAAAGATCCAAGGCCATCAGCGCTTTCTGCTGATGGACCACAGGATCCAACACACTATACTTATTTAATAAATACATGATAAAGGTGCTGGTGGCAGGTGAAACTGGCTTTTATACACTCTTTTAAAGCAAAGTAATTTACAGGTTGCTGGACACAGCCACCCTAACCTAACAGGAAGAAAGGCATACATGGATAGGTGTGTGCTTGTTTCCCTAAGTTGTAAAGCTCAGTCCAGAACCTAGAGTTGCACCCTCCAGGATGGGAGGGACCTCTAAATTTCTGCTTCCTCCTCTTGTATTTTGATCAGATTGTTTGTGCTATTGCAGAGAGTCTGACTAGAGCTGTCTATGTGCTCCTGGAATATGTTTTTCTTCTTGTTTGTTTCCTCTAATTGGTTTGGGGTAGTCAAGAATGTGTGTAGGAGCAAAGACAGACAGTGTGATGGATTTTCATTACATTTGCCTTCACCATGGAACTTGTACCAGTATAGTTACAACCTAGCATTACTAACCATACTTATTTTTACTGAAGATAAATTGATAAACACACAGTTAGGCTGGAAGGTCTGCAAAAACTGTCCAGACCACAGAAATCAGGAAGCTTGTGCATTGTAGGTTTTTTGAATGTGTTAATATAGCAGTCAGGGGACTATAATGAGCCCTGCATTGACATGGAGCAAATTTGCTTGATCATTATTTATTTATTTGGTTTGATTTCTAGCCCACCGGCCCCTGCACAGCAAGGCTCAGGGTAGGTTACAACAATGCAGATAAAACAATAAGATCAAGCACAATTAAACATACATACGATCATTAAAACTTATATAAAAGGAGTAAATCCTAAACCATTAGATGGCAGTCCATAACACGGTGGTAGCTACTTGCAGAAGTTCTACATGTGCACGACAGTAAAAATACTAAGTGAATACTACTAAGTGAAAATACTAAGTAAAAATACACATGATAGTTAAAATACTAAACAAGTGAGTGGACAAGAGAAACCAAGAAAAGATAGGACAGGGGAGGTCAATACAGATGGAGTTCCACTGCTTCAACCATAGGCCTGGTGGAACATCTCCGTTTTACAGGCCCAGTGGACCTGCATTAAGTCCTGCAGGGCCCAGATCTCAACTGGGAGAATGTTCTACCAGGCTGGCGCCAGAGTTGAGAAAGCTCTGGGTCTAGTTGAGGCTTTCCGGACGAGGATCACCAGAAGATGATGGTCCATAGAACGTAAAGCTCTCCTTGAGGGTCATACTGAGAGAGATGGTCCTGCAGGTATTTTGGTCCCAGACCACATAGGGCTTTGAAGGTTAAAACCAAAACCTTGAACTTTATCCAGTATCCAACTGGGAGCCAGTGCAGCTGGCAAAGCATTGGTTATATATGGGCTCTTATTGGTGTCCTTGTGAGGACACACACTGCTGCATTCTGCAGTTTCCAGTTCAGCCTCAAGGGTAGCCCTGTGTAAAGTGAGTTACAGTAGTCCAGCTAGGTGGTGATGGTTGCATGGATCACTGTAGCTAAATCATGGGAAGAGAGGTGGGGAACCAGTCGTTTGACCTGCTGAAGGTGGAAAAATGCTGATCTAGCAATGCTTGCGACTTGGGCCTCCATTGAGAGTAAGGCATCTAAAATCACACCCAAACTCTTCACAGTTGGCATTAGTGTTAGTAACACTCCGTCAAGAGTTGGGAGTTGGATCCATGACCTAGTTACAGGACCTCCAAATCCTTGGCTAAAACTTCTGGGATGACATTTGGTCAGCTACCCATCAACAGATACAGTTGGGTGGCATCAACATAGTGGTGACAATCCAGCCCAATACTCTGGACCAACTGGACGAGGGGCTACATATATATATTAAATAATATAGGAGAGAAGATCACCCCCTGGGGGATACTGCATATCAAAGGGTAATGCAGTGAAACTCTCTCCCCCAGCACCACCCTCTGTCCCTGACCATGAAGAAGTGAGACCAGCCACTGCAAAGCTTTTCCACATATCCCCATATTGGTGAGGTCGTGGATCATAAAACTATGATCAACTGTGTCAGATGCTGCTGTCAGGTCAAGTAGTAACAGCAGTGCTGCTGACCCACCTTGGTCCAGGTGTCTCTGAAGATCATCTGTGAGGGTGACTGTGACGACCCCTTAACTGGGGAGGTCTGGTTTTACTTTAAAAGTGTTCCTTTTATTTTATTTTACTTTGGGTATCCGGCTGCCACCAGGAAATTTTATAAGGCTTTCCAAACCTTTTCCTATAATATTCCTATCACAGGGTAGGTGGATCGAGATTTTAGGCTTTCGAGGAACTATGTGTTTCCTGGGAAGAATTTCTTTAAAAACTGGTATCTTAAATAAAAGTAGATTTATTTGATATTTCACACACTTTCCCCTCTTACTGACAGGGATCTGGGCATGTAACTTAGTAACACTTTTTTCCTTCAGGCCCCATACGGGTACTGTTTCTTTATACTTCAACTTTTCATAACACACAGAACTTAATCTCTTGTATCACACACAAGAAGGTCTCTCCTTCAGACCTCAGAACAAGCTAACTGCTTAACTTATCCCAAACGGGGATGCTTCACTCTTCTTTCATACACAGCACTTAACAACCCTCACAGGGATAAGTCTCTTTCTCTCTCCTACATAGCTTAACTGAACATCCACTGTCTTCATCAACTGTCATCTCCCTAACAGTCACTCCAGATAGACATTCCAATCATCCACACAGCATCCATTCCAAAACCCCTCCCCCTCTCTGTCACTCACCAATCATATCACTTGCCGGTTTCAAGCACTCTAGATTATCACACAGCCAAGCAAACCAAACTTTTAAAGGCACACACACGCACAAATAAACATGAAATCGCCACAGTGACCAAAGCCGTCTGCATCCCATAGCCAGTGCAGAAGCTGAACTGGAATGGATCCAGGACAGAGGAATCTTCCAGGAAAACCTGGAGCTGTTCCGCTGCCGCTTTCTCAACTACCTTACCCAGGAACAGGAGATTCGAAACTGGGTGGCAGTTGGCTGAATCAGTAGGATCCAGAGTTTTTTTTTTTTAAGATCAGTCTCACCACTGCCTCCTTTAAAGTCCATGGGAAAATCCCTAAACTCAGTAAAGAATTGATAATATCTGCCAGGGGAGGCTGTATTCCATCGGTGCTGGCTTTCACCAGCCAAGATGGACACAGATCCAGGGTGCAAGTGGTGGGCTTCACAGCACCCCCCTGTCAACCTTGTCCTGGGAGAGTTGGCTGAAATGGTCCATTACTGGGTCAGCAGATGGCCAAGGGCCTCCAGTTCATGCACTGTATCAATATTGGCTGGCAGGTTCTTGGCGGAGCAACAAGATTTTATCTGCAAAGTCAGTTGAAAAGGAGATGGAATTTGTACTGCACATCTTTTGATGAAAAGACTTTGCAAGAGTAGATGCAATGAGCAACAATTCTGGGAACTTATATACAAACTAGGAATAAGGCCCGTTGTGGAAATAAATACAGTGAGCTCTGGAAAGATGCTCTGGGTGGGTGCCCTGGCCTTGGGCACTCAGTGTGAATGTGCTGTGGTGACTTCAGCAGGGTATAATGACACAGAGTCCACCATTGTCTCCAGGGGAACTGATCTCTGCCATCTGGAGAGCAGTTGTAATTCTGAGTGATCTCCAGCCCTCACCTGGAGATTGGCAGCAATGGTTCCCCAGGAGGAAAAGTACAGTCTTTCTCCACATTGGAGACCAAAGCAGCTTACATCATTCCCCTCTCCTTCTTTTGATCTGCACAACAGCCCCGTGAGGTAGGTTAGGCTGAAAGTCTATGACTGGTCTGAAATCACCCACTTGGCTTCCACAGCAAGAATCTGGGTCTGGCAGACTCTGCTCTGAAGCACTGACAGCTACACCACACAGTGCTCTGAAGCACTGACAGCTACACCACAGGTATCACCTGGTATCACAACTGAACTCCAGACAATAGATCTCTCTTTCCCCCTGGAGAAAATAACTGCTTTGGAGGGATTCTATTCAGCTGAGGCCTCTCCAGACTCTGGCTTCTGTTGACTCACCACAAAATCTCAAGGAATTTTCCAACCTGAAGCTGGCGACCCTAGTCAGAACTGGCCCCAATGAGTTCCCTACAAAAGCCAAAGTAGGCCTGGAAAGGGCTTCCTCCCCCTGCCTTTTTTCTGACAGAACCAAGCTTGGTTGCCTAGCAAAGCCACTGAGGGCAAAGTGAGCTGCACAGTAGGAGGAGAAGAGAATGGTTTGATGGCCAGTGGCCCACCTCAGTAGCCAGCCAGCTGCGGAGGAGCCAAGCAGTAGAAGTGTCTTCATCAGGAGAGACAGCCGTTTTGGCAGTTTATTCTGACAGGGAAGTAGCCAAGCTGGCAGTGGGCGGGGGAGAGGAGCGGACCCAGCGCCCAGTCAGTGGCATGCGATTACTGTTGAGTGGCGGTTGATGGGCAAATGGCTGTTGGAGCGCAGAGCACAGCCAATGGGAGAGCCGGAAAGTGCCAATATGTTGGGCTTGTCTGTCTGTCTATCTCTAATGACCATTATAGTGCTCAGCTTCTCTTAGTACTGCTGCTGGCAGATACCATGACATAGATGACATAAGATTCAACTAGAAACTTTGAAGACAAACAAATAAAATAGTTATTAACAGGCTGGTAAAGTCTTCATGAACTTATTTAAGTCACTAGAATGAGTCTTGACCCCTGTACAGATTTGGCTGTGTGCAATAAGTTTTGTGTTTCAAAAGCAGAGCAAAACAAAAGTAAGCAAACAAACAAAAAACAACTGATTGTAAAAATAATTTATTGCAGAAATGGAAATGCCAGGAATTCTTAAATAACCATTAGTTATCTCAGGTTGCCTTTTCTGTCCTAAGTCAATAATTTTAATTGAATCTGCCCTCTTTCTCTGCAGGTTTTGAATTTGATTGTTCTTGATGATGATATCCCTGAGCTGAATGAATATTTTCAGGTGACTTTAGTGTCTGCTCTTCCCAGAGATGGAAAAATAGGCTCAACCCCAACTAGTGGAGCAAGCATAGATCCTGAGAAAGAAACAACCTACATCACCATCAAAGCCAGTGACCATCCTTATGGTAACTGTGATAGACTGTACATAAATGCCTCTGTTCAGGGATGAATGAAAGCGACGGAATGAATGAAAGTGAGGGTATTACAATCCAGGGCAAGTGGAGTAATGGAAACAATACTGTGTCCGTGATTTCCCCAGAGAGTACTTTCCTGGTGGCACCTGCTTTGGGGAGCTGAAACTTGCCCCCCCAATCCAATCTTTACCAAAATTGGAGGGCAAGTAGAGGAGAGTCAGCTGTAGACTCACAGCGAGTCTGGCAACTCTAGCCTGCAGGGGGGCCATTCTACCGCATCATGAACCTCACTAAATGAACCCATTTGGTAAATGGGAAGGTTTAGGAAAGTTCGTGGTTTGTGAGACCCTACAAACTGGGACAAACCTCCATTTTCCTGGTTCATGCCCATCCCTAGTTGCCTGCCTTAGGCCCCAGTATTTTGGGAGAATTTTTTTTTAATTGTTTTAAATAAATAAATTATACATTGGAAATTTACATAAATCTAAACCACATGATACAGTTCAGAGTTGAAAGGAAAGGACAGTGCTGATCTGGAGTTAGTTTTACTTACCCAAGTGTTACACTTGAAATGGTAGCACATATATGTGTGTGTATTCTCTTCGGGGGATGGTTAAATTTGATTAACAAATACTTATTTTTACTGAAGGGCAGGATTGTTCACATCTTTATCTTGCTTCTCTCAGGCTTGATTCAGTTCTCTGTGGGGCAGCCTCCACCAGACAGTGATGAGATCATTCTGCCAGCCACCACAGCACTCCGCATCACTGTAAAGGAAGAAATAGGACATGTCAGCTTGCTTGTCATTCGTGCACAAGGCCTACTTGGAAGGGTTCTGGTACAATACAGAACAGTCTCACTAACAGCATTCAGTCCTCAAGATTATCAGGTATGAGCTGCAAATTGCAGAGATTAATCAGCTTTAATTCATGTGTTTATATCCCATAACCAGAGTGTTTAGGATAATAATTGTATGTTTTTTTTGACAAGAGCACAAACAAAGAGCAGTCCTAGCTATATACGTATGCCAATAAAGGCTTGTCAAAGTCAAGTCCTAGCTTAATGCAGCCCAGAACCCAGTGAAATGTAAGTCCTGATTCTCAGGTTCTCATAAGCTTCTGCTAATACAGAGACAAAAAAGAAGGACCAAGGAAGGTATAATAGAAACAACAACAAACTTGTACAAAACTGTGTGTTCTGTATCGTGGATACTTCATTTTGTTGATTTTCTTGCTCTAGTGTATTTTACACAGTTAAATTTGAAAATTTTTGAACAAAAGTATAAATAGTCTTTTTACTGCAGGGTATTGCAGACACCTTGGAATTTCTGCCAGGAGAAAGATACAAATACATCATCATTAACATTACAGATAATTCTATCCCTGAGCTGGAAAAAGCTTTTAAAGTAGAGTTGCTGAACCCAAATGGAAAAGGTAAAAACTCACAGATTTTTTTTTCTTTGCACATATGTGGCAGCATTTCAGGGTATGAAATTTTATAAGACCAATTTGGGAAAGTTGTTCTTTCAAAGCTGGAGTTGCATCCCCCCCCCCCCGACAGCATTAGCTTTCTGATTTTCTTTTTGAGATATTCTTTGGATATCTCTATTATTGCTGAAAATAGACATATTCCAAAGAAAGTAAGTATTAAGGTTGTCAGGAACGCCATGTGTTTGGGGGAGGTGCTGACTCAGCAGTGACTGTGCAACTTTTTCCTGTACTTGCAATTCCCTGACTCATAATGAATGGCTACAAATGTCTAGTAAATGGGTTCCATGCTGTTGAGATTCTGTCATTTTCAGTTATGAGAAACTCCATTTAGATTGCATTTGAACATATGAATATGCAGTTGGTCTACTCTTTGTATTGTCTACTCTGAATGACAGTGGCATTCCAGGATTTCAAGCAGGGTCTTCCAGCCCTGCTAATTGAGATTCTTTAACTGGAGAGACCAGGGATTAAACCTGGGGTCTTCTGTGTATAAAGCATGCACTCTGTCATGCGCCATGGCCTATTTCAGTTACCAGCTGCCCGGGTAATTTTAATGTCAACCCAGACAGGGAGTTGTTCTTGTTGAGTTAAATCAGATTCTGCATAGCTCTGCTGTTTTTCTTGTGTAAGACTAGGGAACATCAAGAATCTCCTCTCTGGAAAATCTGCAGAAGGTGCTATTTTTGTGTATACTTGGTTCTTAACATCTAAAGGGATTTTCAGACAAAATATATACAAGCATGTTTAAAAGGGGGGGGGGCTTTCTTTTACCTAGCCACTCATCAGTTAATTTATTTTTGCTGTCTTTGTGTTTTATTTTGCATTTCCAGTACATGTTAATCTACTCACTTTGCAGTGGTCCTTTTCATATAGGTTCTGTCTTCTTCCAATTTCTGTGCATTTCCACCTGTAAAGATCCAATATAAAACAAAGTAATTATTAACTGAAATCCCCTGTGTGATGTTTCAGTATCCGCAGCTGGATGCCATAAAATTATACCATTTGTTTGCCCCCCCCCCGTATCAATGTTCTGTGAGCTTCCAAATTATTGCAGGAACATCTTTTTGTCTGGAAGTATTTTAAGTGCTTTCTGTCATCTGCATTATATGTGTGTATCTGTGTGTGTCCTCTTGAAGTTGGTGAACTCTTTAGTGATGGCAGTGGTAGTGGTGATGGGAACTCGGAGTTCTTCCTTCCTGCTGTCCATCAACATGGTAAGCTGTATTTTTCTCTTATCCGATTGCTGAATTAGCCCAAATGTTTTGTCATAACTGACATAATATCTAGCAATTGAGATTTCCACAAGTTAATGTTTGCAGTATGTGCATTGTAATATACTTGCAGTGATACATCTTACAGACAGTTTATTTTGAAATACGGAAGCTGGGGCCCATGAAGAACAGCTGAGGGCAGAAATCTGTCCCCCAAAACATCTCCTCCTGAAGCATTCTGTGAGTTGTCAGGAGCTCGAACTCTCCCGCTCCTTCCCCCATGGCTCTACTGGATGAGGCCTACCTTGTCGGTGGATGGCCAACAAGATTAGTATTTCATTTATTTAGCAAACTGTGGTCTAGCAGTAATCTTGGGGGAGGGGTCAATATGGAAATCCCAACTTTCCAAACTCTCCCCTCTTCACAGGATGCTTTGTCCTCCTCACACTTTCCCCCCTTTAACTATTTTAGCTGTTCCCAAGATTCTCTCATTTCTGGAATATTTTCAGTCTTCAGTGAGACCATTTTGAAGTCTTTTTCTTTGGGTTTGTGAAGAAATGCCCTGCACCTCAGAGTTGCCATAAAGATTTACTATAAATGGGTCTGCTCTCTACTCATGCTCAGAGCTTATGAAGTGCCTTTGTTTGTGGCTAACAGGACTTGAAGGACAAAGGGAGGGGGGGATGAATCATCTCCCAGCAGAAGAGCTGTCCAGCACTTTTAGATATGCAGTTAACATAGCAGAGTCACACCTCAGCTACTGCGAATTGAAAGGCAAATGGTCAAGTAAGATGTTCCCTGGTGAACAGGAAATACAGGCGATTTACTAGTAGGGAGGGAAAGAACAAAAGGGATATAAAAACCCCTGACCATGGAAAAGGGGGCCTTTCTAGCCAACTGCTTCAGGAGTGGAGCTATCTCAAACCTTAGCTCCTTTTCTCAATGGCAGCGATGTCTAGGGGTGTGCACTCGGTATAAACAGAGCCAAATAAACACCCAAAAATACCTTATCAGTATTTCTCCTGGTATTTGTTCAGCTGAATACAGATTAGAGAATCTGATTTGGCTATTGATAAGCTGAGCCTGAATAAAAGCGAAAAAAAATGGCTTTCATTTGGGCTCAGCTATACCTAATGGCTGGTGCGCTCCTCTTGCAGCTCCTGATAGTGTATAATGGAGCCGAATAAATTCAGGTTTCCTGAATATTTACTGAATCCCAAAACCATACCAGTATTGGGATTCAGGAATATTGGGAAATACTGATATTTTTGGGGTCCAATTGACCTGAATCCAAAAAAAACCCCATTTTTTCCTTGCACACCCCTTGCGATGACCAAGTGCAGCTAAACCATGGGAGAAAGCCTCAGCTATGAAACAGGTATGAACCATTTCTGAATATGTATAACTCCAAGAGAAGGGACCTATTCTTATTTTAAAATCTTAGGGATAAATAAAGAGAAAGACAGAATTTGCAGTTATATTGTTTTTCATTTGATGTTGCTCAGATTTGCTTTGAGGCATGCTTGCGTTTCTATGACTTTATTAAACTCTTTATTAACTTGTACGCTGCTAGTCTGTTTTCTGTGATCATTCCACACCCAACTTGAACATACCCAGAGAAACTGGAGGTGTGTGTGAGGTTGATCCTACCATTCCCCAAATGTGTAAGTGTGCCTGTTAATCCTCATAGTGGCTGAAAGAGCCAAGCAGGAGATGCAGTTGAGGAGTGAAGCCTTTAATGATGGTGGTGGTGGAAAGTGCTGTCAAGTCACAGCTGAGTTATGGCAACCCCATAGGGTTTTCAAGGCAAGACATGATTGGAGGTGGTTGGCCATTGCCTGCCTGGTAAATGACCTGGTATTCCTTGGAGTTCTCCCATCCAAGTATTAGCCAGGGCCTATCCTGCTTAGCTTCTGAGATGTGACAAGATCTGGCTAGCCTGGGCTATCCAGGTCAAGACAGAGCCTTCAGTGACAATGCAGTAAGAGAGTGCTAAAGCAGTAGCCCTTCAGCAGCAGATACTCTTTAGAGCTAGTAGGTGGTAGTGACCTAGAGAGCACAAAAAGGGGGAGCAGAGAGCTAGAGGGAAATGGACTGAACAGGTATCCAGGAAGGCCGAATCGTTGTTTCTCTCCCATATGCACAGAAATGGAACTTGTGAAAGCCATTATGGCATGTTTTTAATTTACCATGTCATATTTTTTGACAGCCTGCCAAGTTCACCCAGTTCATATAGACTTCTGCCTGATTTTGCTGTTTTCTGGATTGACATGAGGACTAGCCACTTTACTATTAGATACAGTGATTCATTGTAGCAAATTATTTGCTCTCTACCAAGCAGATATGCGGTGCCTATAGGCCCCATGGTGCTCACCAGGGCTTCTCTGGGTACCCATCGAGCTTTTCAGAAAGTGGGTGGGGCTGTTGTAAGGCAGGGCTTGTTATTGGCTTCCCTCATTCAAATGGAAACATTTTCCACATGGAGGATGAGGAGGACTGGTACGCGGCTGGGCTTTACTTAGTCAGTGTGTGGTTCTATTCCCCTTTCAGGATTTCTTTGTTCCCAGAGAGTCAGAGGTATTCTGTTTCGCTCCCCCACCTGAGGCATTCACCACCCTCTATCAAAATGTCAAAGGTGCCAGCAGCCTCAGAAAGGTTGGGGACGCCCAGTCCAGTTCTATACATGTTTACTCAGAAGGTGTCCCACTGTATTCAGTGAATCTTACTTCCAAATAAGCAAGTGTATGATTGCAGCTTAAACAGTGTAAACACCGTCTGATCTTTTATAAACTCTTTTTTTTAATGGACTACTTTTGAATAACTGCCGTATTTCAAAGTAAAATTTACTCTGGAAGGAATAAAATAGTAGCTTTGCTCTAATTGTTAAAAATCTAGTCTGCTACAAAAATTTTCTGCATTTGTTTGTTTGCTTTCTTATCTTTCACTTTGAGAACAGTTTATTTTTAAAGTATTCTTGGGACATCATGTGTATTCCAAAGTGCTTTGATCATAGAGTCTTCCTGCTTTGAACTTTCATATGTTCAGAGCTCTGTCAAGATGCAGATATAATAACAGAGTCAGTTCTGTCCTTGTTTGTAATCTTTGGGGAACAGGTTCTCAGGAAATGCATTTCAGGAAAATACTGTCAGTTCCTCTTGTATTTCCTTGAAGGTTTCTTAATATAGAGAACAAACAAACAAAAAAACCCTTATTTTAACTTTAACAGTAGCACCAGAAGCAAGGTATTGGTCTCATTTTCCCTACTTATCTCCAGTGATATTTCACTTTTCTCTCTGTTTTCATGATAGCCAGTTTTCTGTGTGTTGGATCCAGCCAGTGTTTCCACTCTCTCCCCCAGTCTCCTTCTTATTACACCCTTGTCCCATGTGGCTTTTGTCCATGCTGGTCTCATGATCCTCCACATAATTTTTTGGTGGTCAAAGGGGACCTCCTTTTCCTTTTTTCACCAGTGGAAAAGGTGGCTGAACCCAACCTTGCATTTCCCCAGCCTTGGCTCCCATTATTTGGCTGTTAAGCTTCTCAAAAGTGCACAAAGTCTTGCTACTTTAGTGTTGTTCTCTACAGTCAAAACTTCCTTTATTAATGGCACAATTTCAGTCTGAATGAGTGGCCGGTGTTCCATAGTGAATTAATTTCCTTAAGCCAATAAGAACATAATGTTATTAAAGAACCTTGTTTGGCAGCAACTTTATGGACATATTTTGGGGTCAAAGAGTATCAGTTTTATATCTCTGTTTTACAAGAGTGACATGAGTCATATACAAATGGCATTCAGGAATTATAATGAATTTTAAAAACTGCATCCTAGTATTCTTCTGTAGTGGATAGGCCTTTAATTTGGCTACAAATAAAATTGAAAGCTCAGTGGCATGTTCAAGGTAGGGTTACCAACAGGTTGAAGAACCATTTCCTGTTACTTTAATAGAGGCTTAATGTGTAGAAAAGGCAGCTGAAGATTTCATGGCATGGAGGTAAGCAATATCACTGAGTAAATAACATCTCATTAAGCCTCCATTAGAAGTGCAGGAAATTTTTTCTCCAGGTGATTGTCAGCCCAGGTTGAAGGACATGGCTAGTGCATATTAGGAGGGTTGTTAAGGCTACTGTTAGAAATGATGCACCTTCATCAGATCTTGCCCTCCATTTTGAAATGGTCCATGTGTGTATACATTAGGACCAGAAAGATGCTGAACTATGTACAGGAAAAAGCCAGAGGAAATTTTGGAAGTCAGCTAACAAATGGATCAAAGCATAGCAGCCTGCTTATTCATATATTTCCCTCTGTTTCCTATTGGTCACTTCTCAATACACTTTCTGAGTTTTATCTGCTAAATCAGATGGATAGACATTTGGGGCCTGAAATTATTGGAAGCTGTGTGTGCAATTGTCTTTTCCTTCACAATATAATCTGACACCCAAGACCAATAAAGGATTTCACCACTTAAATGTGAGTGAAGTACTTAGTAGCAGAGGGCCCATTTGTATTTTAATTCTATTCAGGCTCAGAATTAAATTTCTTCCCAATCATCCAAGAAATTGAAACAAGCTTCTTCTTATGGAAAATATATTCTTTATAATAAAAGTGGGAAAATGTATGCCCTAATTCAGTTGCTAGTAATGGATGGATTTGTACTTGAGCAAGTGGAGCATCATTTACAGTCAGGATCTTCAGTGAGTTACCTTTTCTCTCCCCAGCTCCCTGTGTCCCACATGAGATGTTTCCAAAGATCAGGGAACCCTTGGGAACTCCGAGATGTAGTGTGAGGGCTGTAGTGGGAAGGGAGAGTAGGTGGAGTATTCCAAAGTGCAAGGGTGGGGAGAAGACAAGGTGGTTTCCAACAAGTCACCATTCCCCTCTTTTATTAGCATATATAAATAATATTAGTATAGACTTGTCATTGGGGACACCGGGCAGTATCCTCCCATCAGTGTGTGGGAAGTTCACAGAGTTTTCCCGCATTGACTTCCATCCGTGCAGCTCCCTGCAACCCTTTGAAAGACCACTCCGTGAGTCCCAGAAAAACAGCCATCAGGGTTGGTGGGGCAGGAGAAAGGAGGACAAGGGAATGGAATTGCCCCCTCCTCTGAGCAGTGCTGTGCATGCAGAATAGGAAGGAGGAGTGATTTCAACTCCTTGTATTGCCTCTCTCCAGCCCCTCAACCTGTGTGGCTTTTCATCCTTAAGGGTTCTGCAACCTTAGAACTGAACCCTCCAGGGATCAGGAAAATCTACAGCGGTGGAGAGGTAGGAATGGTAGGATACTGCCCACCACATGCTAAAATTATAGAACTTTTCAAGCATTTGCTATCTATTTCAATTTTTTATTAGTGCTGCTTCAAATAACGCATTCCTTTTTTTTCTCCTTGGAACATGGTCTCTACAGCCAGCTTGGGAATAGCTTCTCACATCATAGTGACAATTGAGGCCTCCGATGATGCTCACGGCATGTTTGAGTTCAGTGCTGAATCTCTCTCTGTCAATGGAACCGAACCTGAAGATGGAGGTGGAACAGTTACACTTAAGGTCAACAACAATGGCACCACATTTGACATTACTTTCTCTAGAGCTCATGCGGTTCAGTTGGCAAGAATGTGGGTTAATAGCAATGGTCAATATTTCTACCATTTTGTAAAAATAGAAATATTTTAATGAGAATAGATGTTAATGTGGTCATTCTCCCCGTTCTGTGTAATAGCCAGGGACACCTGCTCCAGGGAAGGTACACGAGGGGTGGAAGCAGGTTGGAATTGATTGTGGCCACCTAATTCATGACATAACAGCAGTTCTAACAGTGGAGGTCTGTTCGTATGGGCATCCAAGTGATGACATAACTTCCAGCAGGTTCATAATCATGCTTGCAAGGGAAGGGGCTGCTTGAGACTTTATGAACTGGGATGGCCGTCTGAAAGCAGTTTCTTGTGGGTAGCCGTGTTAGTCTGTATTAGTAGAACAAAATTCAAGTCCAGTGGACCAGTAACATCTTACAGACCAAGAAAATTTCCAAAGGTATAAACTTTAATAAGTCACAAGGTGAGTTTGACTGACTAAAGCTCATATCAAGGAGAAATTTGTTGGTCTTTAGGGTGCCGCTGGGCTTGGATTTTGTTCATTTGAAAGCAGTACATCAGATGTTTGCAGCTTCTTAACCCCATGGAATACCAGCAGGAAGAGACTGCTGTGGTGGAGTTTCTAGCCTTTGGAGCAGAAAGTAAGCATGGATGGAAGAGAGAGAGAATATGCATTAATAGGGTTGACAGAATAAGCAACAGTGTTTTTGAATACATTATCACATTTAAGAAGTGTTTATCTACAGAAGACTAACATCAGTGTAGAGTCTGGGTTGCTGAAATGGATATAGTATTCAAATATGGTTTAGGTGTCCTTCTTACACTGAGGTAAATACTTCTGCTGCTGGATAGGATTGAGAGCAGAGGTTTAAGAATAGAGGCAGTGTGCATGATCTTTCCGTGGATTTGATGAGGTAGGTCAGTGTCAAGTGCGAAGATGGGTATGTCAAGAAATTTATCCCGGCTCTGGGCCTGTGGGTGTGTTAGCTTTGCTCTGGTACCTCTGGTGATTTCTTCTGCCTCATTTTGAACACGTGATTGAGGTCCACAGACAGACTGTGCAGTCTGGCACACCACAGCTAGGCTTGTGGTAAGGAGGTTTGTAATATCTTACTAAACTGCAGGTTCCACATGTGATTAAAAAGAAAGATGGTTACCATGGCTTGAAAACAAAAGCAAGTAGCTAGTGTCTTTGCTTCTCCTTGTCTCTGTGTTTTCTTGTCTGCTTATTTTATTTTGAAGAGATTTTTCAGGTATTAGATGTTATATTTTTCTATTGGAGACTTTTTGAAGGCTTATTAAGTGGATTGTAAATATTTTAAAGAAGTTTATAAATGGAAGGAGCAGGGCAGGTGTGCCTAGAATTGTTAGTTCAAACTCCTTGTTCTGTGGTGTAATGGTTAGAGCAGGGGTGTCAAACATAAGGCCCGGGGGCCATAACTGGCCTGTCCAGGGCTCTTATGTGGCCCGCAAGCAACTGGTGCAAGGGAGGGAACTGGAGGCTGCTTGGGGGGGGGCGGAGCCACTTGAGTTGTGGCTTCAGCATGGCAGAACAACCTCATCTGCAGCAGTCAAGCAGAACCCCTTCACTTCAGGGACTGGTAAGCTGGGAGCTACTGCGGCTGCATTTATACCTCTCCACTTGGCCTGCAGCTCCAGGGATGCTGTCCTGGATGACCGCAGGCATCAGTGTTTGCATGTGGGGAGTGCAGACAATTCTCTGTTGGGGCATGGCAGCATCTGCCCAGTGCCGCACTGTTGGCTCTCTAGTCCGCCCGTGTGGGTTTTCCTCTGCACCCCCCTCCCAGCCCATGGGGCCTTGCATTGAGAACACACCAACTCAGAGCTTACCGGTTGCTGTCCTTTATAAAGTTTATAACTCTGGTACCCATGTTTTATGGCACACATGGCCCAGCCTGACAAAGTGAGAGACGCAGGTTTGAATCATCAGTCTGCTGTGGATGTTTGTTGGTTGACCTTGGGCCAATCACTCCTTTCAGCCTAAACTAATTCATAGGATTATTGTTAAGATAAAATGAAGAAAGGAAGATTAGTGTTGTGTGTTGCTTTGGGTCCTCACTGGGGAGAAAAGCAGGGTGTATATAAGTTGAGACATAAATTCATCTGGTTTATTGTACCATTCCTATAACCCACAGGGCACCTTGGGTTAGCCAGCTCTGTAGCTGAGGCTGTTGGTCCTTCATGATGCAATATTAACATCCTGTTTTGCTTTTCAGGTTGTCAGAAATCATGGTGCTTTGTCCCAAGTGACTTTGCAGTGGCTCATAGTGCCTGAAGATACTACGGATCTAGTTGCTACCTCTGGCAGTATAAGTTTCAATATAGAGCAAAGAATAGCAAATTTAGTAGTGCAGGTCTTGCATGATGATGTTCCAGAACTAGACAAGACTTTCTCAGTTTGGATCATCAATGTTTCCTGTGGACGTCTTGGACTTTACACTAATGCTACACTGACAGTTCTTGCTAATGATGACCCCTATGGACTTTTGATATTCTCTGAGAAAAACAGACCAATCAGAGTTGAGGAAGAAACCAAGAACATCACCCTTAAAATAGTGAGGTTAAAAGGCCTGTTGGGAGTAGTCAAAGTTACATACAGAACTGTGGGTGATGAGGATATGTCACGCTACCTGCCATCGAATGCTGCCAGAGCAACCTGGGAACAAGATTACATACCCATTTCTGGATCTGTAATTTTTGCAGCCAATGAAAGTGAGGCCACCATAGAGCTCCCCATTCTAGATGACAGTGAACCAGAGATATCAGAGTCTGTGTTTGTGGAGCTGCTTGATGTTACCTTGGTAGAAGGAGCCCAGTATCGGCCAAGTAAGAATGTTATATTTTCAGATTTTACTAGATGTGTTGCAATAAAATCTCAAAGGATGTTGAGATCTTACTAACTTCACTAAGCCAAATTTTTGGGGTTTTTTCCTTGTACAGAATTACAGTAAAGGCCAGTATATGTGACCATCTTGTGTATGGTAACCACTATTTTAATTTTGTCTGCCTGTGGTAATTGCATTTGCAAGTTCTTCTCCTGGTTAATGAGTCCGATGATCCATTTGCCGTGAGCACAGCAGGAAAAAACACAACTTGCATGAGCCAAGTTGTCAAATACGTAAATATACGTAGTAAATTGTGACCTTGTCACCTTTCTGTAGCAGAATTGATACACCAAGTAAGGAAAAGGCATTCTTTCCATAAATTAAAAAAAAAGACAAGAGCTAATATACTTGCTGTCAGGATGCTTGAATGGCTTTGACATAGGAATGTGATGGTTTTGCTAGTACTGCTTACCAAACTGTGTATGCTGCCTCTGTTGCTGTGATTTAGACTGTGATGTTAGCAGTCTGTTACATCATACCTACATCAGTGTGTAGAATTTTGTGGGCTGCCAAAGTGTACTTTTCACACACTTACTCTATTGTGTTGCCATGGTAGGGCTGCCAAATGCAGCCGGGGGGCGGGGAATCCCCTGTTTCGGAGCCCTGATTCCCGGCGCGCCGGAATCGGGGCCCGGGGGAAACCCCACCCCCGCGTGCGCATCACCCGGAAGTGACGTCGCACGCTGGGGGCGGAGCCACGCCATTTGAGGGGAAAACTCTTTGTTTTCCCCTCAAACGGCGTGGCCCCGCCCAGCGTGTGACGTCACTTCTGGTGACGTCCTGGCGGCGCGCGCGCATCCCCCAGCAGCTCCAGGAACGGCCGGACGATCCCCCACCGGTAAGAACTTCGGATTTGGCAACCCTATGCCATGGATATACTGAGTGCACTTTCCCCCGGTTGTTCTCTGATTTGTTTGAAAAGGGGCAGCTACTGTCCAGTCAGCAGGTATCCCTGCAATGCCCCAGTAGCAGTCCACCTTTGGTACTCTCACCCATTCTCCACAGTGCCATTGCTCCAGGCATTCTCCGGGCAAGTGTATAGGTGCAGACATGGGGCAAACCCTGTGAGAGCCTTATGTGCTCCTATGCCAGCACACTACCCTTAGCATCAGTGATGTAGAACCTAAACAGCAGTTTAAAAAAAAAATCCAGGTCACAGACATGAATGGCGATGTTAATTTTCTTTTTGCCATTTGTAAAATTGTCTTTGTCCATGTATAGTATATAGTCAATAAGAAAGCATTACTGTTTCACACTTTAATAAGAGTGCCTGTTTGTTGTAGTGGTTAAGAGCATGGACTCTAATTTGGGAGAACTGAGTTTGATTACCCACACCTTCACATGCAGCTGCTGGTGTGACCTTGGGTTAGTCATAAGTTCTTTCAGAGCTGTTCTCTCAAGGGCAGTTCTCAAGAGAGCTCTCAGCCCCACCTACTTCACAGAGTGTCTGTTGTGGGGAGGGGGAGGGAAAGGGCTTGTAAGCCACTCTGAGACTCCTTCGGGTAATGAAGGGCAAATCCAATCTCTTCTCTTCTTCTTCTTCAAACGTTTCCCCCATCCTAGATACAGCATGGAAAATAGGCAAAAAGCATGGTTTTTGTTTTGGGTTTTTTTTCTCCTCCTCCAACATAGGAGTTGATCTTGTACCGAACATGGTTGTCTCTAATATTTGTCCAATACATGATTAAAAATTATCTTGCACTTTGGGGCTTTGCATAACTTCATGTTATGACCTTTTGCATGTTTGCTTCTCACATAGAGCATGGTATATCATCTAGTGATTGTGAGTCTATGAATAGGGATGTTAATTATCCAGTCTTTGGAAGATTATATACTGATTTGCACTTCAAGATTTCCCTGGCTGTCTAATTACCTCTCCTTTTAGTTCTTGATAAGCTGAGATGTTTGAGATACAAAGCTCTGTGGGAAAACTGAAATGTCATGTATATTTTATCATAAGAAACCCAGAAATAATACTCTAATTGAAAGTGAAGTGCTTTTTCTATTAAGCTCTGAATAAATGAATAAACATAAGAAGAGCACAGCTAGATCAGCCCATGGTTGCATCCACAATTTTTTTAAAAAATATGTATTGATTATCCTTCCCGGGTTATGTATGCCCTGTGTCTGTAACCAGAGGTAACCTGCCTCTGGCCATGGAAGTTTTGTGTATTTTCATAAGTAATGCTACTTGTAATTGGGGCCCCAAGATTAATTGGGGGTGTGGGAGGGGGGGTGCTTTTTAATTGTCTCTCTCTCTCTCTCTCTCTCTCTCACACACACACACACACACACACACACACACACACACACACACACGCAAGTGCACATGTATACACACCTCTCCAGGATTCTATAAGCTCACAGGCCCCTAAGATAATTTCCGTCCTTTTAACTTGTAACTGTCTTAACAGTTCTCAACATTTTATATCCCTTGGAGCAGGGGTGTCAGACTCATTGGTTATGAGGGCTGGATTTGACATGAATTGGACTTTGTCGGGCCAGGCCATGTGTGTCATAAAATGTAATGCCAGGTAGCAGAGATATAAATTTTATAAAGGACATAGATAAAAGACAATTAAAGATATTATAGCAGTAATTCCATTGGAGCCCCACATTAGGAGGGTGTGTGTTAAAACTAATCTTTCTCTGAAAAACTGAAGTCCCTTGAGTTTTCAGAACTCTATATTTTAACCCTGGCTGGTCCCAAACCTTCCCCCCTCCCTCCCAGAAATATAAGCTACAGATATAAATGGTCTGAACCTAGGA